TCCTTGACTAGGGCCCGCCGCCCCTGCGGAAGGCCCCGCACGCAGCCCCCGCCCCAGGTTGAAAGGAGCGGTTAGCGGCTGAGGCCCAGGCCTCGGGGATTAGGTTCTTGGGATAGGAAAAACTGCACGCTGGCTGTACCGTATTTGTGGGAGCTCTTCAGGAATGCTTTGCTACCCAAAGTCCTGTCTTGAAAATTCCTGCGCGAAGTCATACCGTCTGCCCTGTGGCTATCACTTCCCATTCTTCTGGGGCACAGACTTCACTGGCGCCCTTTAGAAATCATCCCTGAATCACCCGCTGAAGTTGTTCGGCACCCTTGGGTCCGGGGAGGTTACGTTTGTGGCAAGCGATTCGTCCTGTGAAGAACCTCTATAATACGCGGTTTCTCGGTTTTTTTCCAGAAGTAAATCCAAATCAACCACTGATTTAGACAATCATCAGGCCAGTGGTAAGTGCTCTAATGGAAAGGGGGAAAAACAGTCAGAGAGCCAGGAAGGGTGAACCCTGTAATTCAGGATTATTTTACTACTGGCCCCCCAGCAGAGATGAATTATTGCACAGCTGTGATTTTGGTGCAGGTAAAACTACCGCTTGCATTGGTGTGTCAGCCTATATTTGCACTGGCAAACACTACATGTTTCCATTCTCTGGAAGGTCAGACTTTTGGATGAGTCATAGCTAATTTAGTATTAACAATATTCTTCTCCATCAGAGATGTTTGCATTTGCAAAATGAGACATAACTCCATGGATCCATGACTAATGTAGCCTTAGTGATAAACACAGCATTAGCATTTTCTGTCTCCTTCACTCTTCTCGGCGTCAAAGCGTATTTCCTTCTTTTCAAATTAGGGCTGAAGAAGAGATTCCCGGAGCCGTGCTGGAATACCACCAACTCACTGAAAAGACCTCAGAAGGAACATGGCTTGTCACCCGCTGAGCTGGAGAGGCAGCAGATCCTTCAGGAAATGAGGAAAAAGACGTCCCTGCACACAGACAGCAGCTGGATCCGGCAGCGCAGTTCCAGCATGCACAAAGAGCCCAGCAGCCTGTCCAGCAGCCGAATGAGGAGGTAATCAAGACCCCCGGGAGACCCCCACCGCAGCCGAGGTTGAGGATGCGCCCAGCACCCCCACCTCGGATCTCCCCGTCTGGCCCAGAGAGGGAAAGAGAACGGGGATCCACCTTCTCTCTTTCTTCGCGGAGATGAAATGGTTCCCTTCTCAATAACACGTCCTCCTTATTTGCTGGGTTTATATCCCGCCTTCGTCTAAAGCAGTACACGCAGCCCCCTGTTCTGTAATATTGCCTGCAGCCACCGCCTGGGTGTGGATTGTCTGAGAGTGAGCAATGGCAATAAACACCCACAACTGATGGGACTTCTTACACAGTCAGTCCAGTTTGTGGATCAATAAGTCAAAGATCCTTCTTGTGGGGGGAAAAAATACACTGGTTTACAGTTTTACATAGAGTTTTATGTTTACATGAGCAACTTGACTTTGAGATGATGGGTTTCAAAAGCAGTTTGTGGAACAGGCACCAGTGTCACTGTGTGCTGGTGGACACAAAGTTATCTGGCATAGCTTTTTGAGGTCATGAATGTTTGGGTGTGGAAAGTGTGACTTTTCGGCACTTAAATAAAGGGATTTTGTCATTTGGTGACCATAGACGTTTTTTTTCCCCACAAAAAGGCTGTACTGCTTTTTGGGAGCTTTCTATTGCTGATGCCCCAAGGAGGACAGAAGAAAAGATTAGAGTGTTTCAAGGCATCATTTTCTCTCAGTTCTTCATAACGTTTCATTCTGTAGACAGGGACATGGTGAAACTCCTTAGAAATATATAGCCCCCGGTGGAATTAAATTCTGCAAGAGGCATGCTGGGGTTTACGTCTCATGTCGGAATACAAAAGCTACATCATGCTGCAGAGTTGTCCTAGACAGACGACTTGTATGCAGGCTGTTCAGGTGATAGTTCTGTGGCTGGGCTTTCAGGCACTTCTGTTGTGCAGAGCCACGTGGCTTGGACTGCTTGATAGGTGGCTAGAGGCATGGGTCCATTCAAAAGCCCGCTGATTTCAGGATAGCTCCTTCTGAAAGTTCCTTTTTTCTGAATCAGAAAAAGCAGTTTCCTGAACACAGATTTCCATGCTGTGTCATAAGCTGCCTTTGCAAGCACCTTCTTGATCACATCCAGGACTTCTTTTGGTTTGCTTGTGATTGCAGTTCAAGATATTCAAGGTCATAGCCTCCTTCAGGGCGTGGGATTCATTTTGCAGTTTCCAGGATCACCGCCGGTGTTGAGCCATTATTTTCTGCACCTTGTCATTATAATAACATAAGTGACTTGATTACGGTACATTTGTTGAAACCTCATCACAATTATTCTTCTGTTATAATAGTAACTTTTGTGTAGAATGACCAGCTACAGCCAGCTATACATTTTTCTTCCAGAGGTGAGAGCTTAGATAATCTTGACTCTTCAAGAACAAATTCCTGGAGACCTCACTCCTGGATGAGCCAGTCTGCATCTTCAACATCTTTATCAAGCAGCCAAGATTTTGGTCAACCTATTCCTCCAGTGGTGTCCACTTCAAATCGTGCTTACATGCGCACCCCGTCTTCCAGCCTGCCCTCCCCTTCTGCTACATCTATGAAGACATCATCCTTGCCTCACATTCCCCCCTCATCTTCTGTTCCTCATGCTCAGTCACCAACCTCTTCTTCCCAGCCTGGAACTCAACAGCGCAACAGGTATAAGAGTCATCTACTGAACCCTTTTTGTTTTTTCTTTTCTTTTGGGAAAGAAATAACCTGACAGTTCTAGAGATCAGCTGTGAATTCCTCTCAGTACTCCTGGGTGTGTTGTAGGTTCATGCACCTTTCTCTAAAGCAGGTGGTCTGTCTCCTTGGGACATGGCCCACTACTCTGAAATGACCATGATTCTGGCATTTAATACTACTCTGGATGGTTGATGAATTGATTTTGGAGAGATTTATAAATATTATACCTTCATTTGAGACAATCATGTGCTTCTCCCTGCTTTATTCATTCTCTCTCTCTGAACAGAATAAGCTACCGTTTTTCAAAATGTATTTAATTATGGTGACTGAATACATATAGTGAATGTCAGCAGAACACCTTTTTATCTTTCCTTTTTTCCAAGTTGCTGAGCCCTTTTTTTTTAATCATACGATTATGTCATTTCCTGTAAATAAGAATAACAGTGCCTTATGGGTGTGCTCAAACTTACTTGTTTATTCCTTTGGTGGCTATTGTTGTTTGACAAGAGCCTTATTTGCACCCGAGACCTCCGGGCTTCTCATCCTCTAGGAGGGGGGAGCAAAGGCTGCCTGAAAGCCAAGCGGGGGAAAGGCTTGTGTGAGTCCAGAAGCATCTCCGTGTTTCCAGGCGTTGGCAACTGGCAAGATGCTGGCCAGGCTGGCGCACAATAGCCTTCACGGTATTTTATATAGCCTAACTTCAAAGGAGTTTCTGTTGTGTGTCCCAGCCTAGTGTCATGTTGCCTAAAGAAGAAACAGATGCTGGAGCTTGAAAATTGTATTCCACAGATAAGGAATGAGTTGGGGCCCTAAACCATATGTGTTGTTTTCTAAATTTAGTCATGTTTAGGATTGTTAAATGATTTATGCTAACGTAATAGCTGTATTTCATTTAAAGTTTGGACATGGTAATTCTTTCTGGTTGATTAATTTCCCTCCCAGGGAAGAACATTTCTGCTTTCTCCTTGCAGTCTTGGGTTTTGGTTCATTACTCCTTCTGTGGCTGCGCCTTTTCCCTGTTCTGTTGCCTGGTTTTCCATAATCTGCTCCTCAACCACATTCTTATTCTATATTTAGGTCGGTGAGTGGAAAGCGAATGTGTTCCAGCTGTAGAAACGCTCTGGGCAAAGGAGCGGCCATGATCATCGAATCTCTTGGCCTTTGCTATCATTTACATTGTTTTAAGGTGAGAGGGGCAAAACCGTGAGGTGCAGGGGCTCTTCCTGGCCCTTTGCGTGGTAGCAGATACCCCCCATGCTGGCTTGCTGGCCTCCCTTATGTGCGCATGCAAGAAGCAATGCAGCAAAATCTGTCTGCTAACAGGAAGCCTTCAGCAATCGGCTGTCGGTGGGCTCATTAACCTACTACAAAATGTTCAGTGGCTTTCTGTAGCTTTGGACAAAGGAGGCCGGAGCTTCTCTAATGGAGAGCGCCTTAAGATAAGACCGAACAGGCGATAAGAGTAGTTTCCCTCCTGGGTCTCTGGGCTCCTTCCACACCCACCTCCTTGCACCCTCTGTTCATGTGGTGAGTGCCATCACAGCAGGAAAAGTACACAACTGCTACTACATAAAGGAAGCCAACATTTGCACAGATCTTATGTCTTCTACCGTGCCTGGATGTAAATGCATATCAAAAACACTGAATCCTAATACGTTTCGCAAGCCAGCCAGAATGCTCTCTGCAAGTTGTTTTAAAGCAAGTAAATGTGTGTATTAAATGCAGTCATATTATAGTTATGAAGAATAACATTTATAGTGAATGAGCCCCACTGAGTTCACTGAGACATGACTTCTGGGAACATGTGGACACGGTTGTCATCTCACTGTTCCTTGCCGCGTTTGAAATAGGCACATTTATGATTCTGAGAGAAGTGCGGCAGAAAATCATTTAGGAAGCCTAGCCAAATTGAAAGCAGACTAATGCTAAGAATCTGCCTATGACTCGTCAAAGGAAACAGTTTGGTGCCAAAATCATTGCTTTCTCCATGTGCCATATAAATCCATTCTGTTTCAGAAAGCAAGAGGGGATCATCTGATCTGTGGATCTTCATTTCCGTTTAGGCTGTGCAGCTGTTTAGTCTGCTCATTCTGCTGCTCTGCCATTACTCTGCATAGCAGAATGTTAACCGCCCTGTTCCTCGTGCTCACAAGGACCCGTGGCTTACGTCGCACATCCCGACCACCGGGGGCCCTTCGATCATGGCTAACTGTCCAATTTCTCTGTACAGTGTGTGGCTTGCGAGGGCAACCTTGGAGGATCGCAGGCTGGAGCAGAAGTCCGTATCCGAAACAGTGAGCTCTTCTGCAACAACTGTTATCTCAGATTTAAAAGTAAGAAGCTCTCCCCGTAGTCAGTCACAGTACAAGCTGCGTGATCCTGAAGAGGGATTTTTGTTGGTTTGTTTTTCTCAGACATCAGATGCTTTGCTTTGGTTAGACAGTCAGCTATCAAATTTGGACAAGATGCTCTTCTTTGGACTAATAGGGGTTCCTCTTCTGTTATAAATCAGAATCAAGTGTCGTGTAAATGGTGCAGTAAAATAGGGGTGGGCTCCTTTTAGCTGGAGGTATATAGCAGAAGCAGAGTAAGTGAATGTGAGATTCTCACCACCATTAAAGACATCGCGGCACGTTTCCAGCTGCAGATTGTGGGCCAAGCAGAGAGCCGGAGTAAACAGTCTTTACAGCCCCGTTCATCCCTCTGATGGGAGGGAAAGGGAAATAACAGGTCAACGATGACTTTTTCAATTGTTTATATTTCGTTTTGTTATGCACCACAAAAAAATTAAAAATATCCTGCTTTGTGTTAAATGATGGCTAAGTAATAGAACACAAGTGGGGAAAGTTGATTCTGAATTTGTATTGTTTTATAAGTAAACGTGTTATTAAAAAAGCTATATTAAGCATTTTTAAAATCCCTGATGGTGGAATGATGCTGAAAGGTGTGCAGTGAAAAACGGGTCATATCCTGACATGTGTTTGCCTTGTGATGTCACAACACATGCTTTGTTATTTGCCTCCCTGCCCCCTGCGGGTGCACACCCCAAAGCATTGGCAGTGCAGCTGAGCCCCGTGGGCATGATGTTGTTTGTCATCAAAGCATGCTTGCAAAGCATTTGTGGTGATGCTTGTTCCACCCATATCTTCATATCTTTCCCTGCACCTTCTTTTTCTAAGCTTTTTGGAGGCTCTTAAAGAGCATAGATCTTCTGATACCAGAGTAAATACAAATGAAAGGCGAAATGCAAAACGTACTGAGCATTGTGTGAGTTGCTGTGGAGGGAACATGGACTGCCATCAAGAAGCATGCTTTTCCCAGTCTCGTGCACACGTCACATGCTACGTCTGGAAGAGCCTGGCCATCCTGACCAGCAGGAACCAGGCAGTCATGAACGTCACTAATATGGTTCCAGCCGGTGTCCTTCCACCACGCTTCACGCTTTGCTTTCAGTGCCTGTTCTTAGAGCTCCGACTGCTGGCCACGAAAGGTCGTCATACTGGCCCTTCAGAAAGCTTGTGGTGACATGAATACATTTTGCCAGCCGTTAGGGAGGCTAGAAAAGAAAGATCTTTTTTATTTAAAAACACTGTAAGTAAGTGCAATTAGGATACAAACAAATACGCTAATTTTGTTTAGAAAATAGTCTGAATTTACTCTGCACTTGGTAATTCGTCTTTTTTCTTTCTGATGCCAGTAGCTGGACAGGCAACTGCCATGTGATCCGAGCATGAAGATGAAGCTTCTGCAACAGTTTGGGAAAGAGGCTGCTGCTGTAGATCTATAAAGATGCAGAGCGGGTGTGTTTTGTAGGGCCTGTCTAGATCATGTAGAAAATTAACTGCATCCTCCATAAAACTTATTTTGAAGTATTTATGAGAAGGTCATCCCAATTACATTTGATGTATAATCCCATCCTAAAATAAGAAGCAGAGGATTGTTGGGAATTTCAGATGGGACATTCTAGAGAGTTGTGCAGAACTTTGTAAGAATTACATTTGAAGGCACGCAGAAGTGGTTGCGTCTTTATTTCAGTTGCTAAGCTTAAGTAATATTACCCTTTTAAAACTGTCAACTTCACTTTATTCAATATCCCTTTGTGCTTTAGTGGTTAAATCCAGCTGGGGAAATTGTGAAGCATTCTTTTTCGTTCCATGTTTGAAAAATGTAACTCTACTTGCACCTCAAACACGTTAATATAACTGAAGAATTTTTCCTTCTGTTTTCTTTTGTATTTGTAAATAAAGTTGCTGATGCTGCACTTAAACAAACTGCTTGAATGAATTTGTTACGTCTTGGGGAAAGAATTGTGCACAAAGACGTTTTAGCTGGAGTGGCTTCTTTTGGTAAAGTGTTTCCAAGATAAAATCCCAACCTCATAGGGGTACGCATTATTTATAGTTAATTGGGTTGCTCTGTTTCCAAAGCCTGTGAAATTATATTAAATGGAAACTTGGCCTGGATAATATTCCTTCTTAATTATACAATATAGAAATTAAATCAAGATTGCAAAGCTTTAAATTCTAGATTGAAAAGAACATAGAAATTAAACTTAATGGGAGTTAAACACGGAGCACAACATTTGGCACACTTCTGCATCTGTTTAGAAATTTCAGAATAAAAGCCAAGTTCTAAGAAATGGAATATCCTCTACTATTTTTCTTTTACTTGGCCAAAGATGAGCTAGGCTGCGAATATGGCCTTGTTCACACATAACACTAAGATTGGTTTGTGTAACAATAAGACAGAATAAACCACGCTATGGCTTAGTGGATTGCGTGAGCCCAGCTTCTCTCTGATATAGCAAATAGTCAGCCCTTGTGGAGAGCGACCATGGACTTCACCTTGAGCAAATACATTAAGTGGCCACCACAAGAGAGCATGAACAATCCATGCCAACATTGTTTGTAATGGTAGATCCTCACCTGTGTGATTTTATTATAAAAAATAACTAGAAATGTTACAGGCATGGTTGTGATGTGTAATTTCTCTGCTGAAGTTTCCAAATAAGCCTTTTTTCATCAGGTTTGCAAATCTTGAACATCGCATTGCCCCTAAAGAAGAGCCTGTGGGGTTTCTGACTGGAATTCTCTGCCTTTGGGCAACTCTGGAGAAGCACGTTTGCCCACCGGGGGGGGGGGGTAGCCATATTGTGGCACCCTGAGAAAGTTCAAGAATTGGATATGAGGCTCGCATCCCTCACGCAGCCATGAAACCACAGAATGATTTTGTACTTATTGCATGGACACAAGCAAATCAATTTCTTATTTATCCTGTGGATGGACAGAGATTTCTTACAAGGATTTGTCTTGAAAGTCAAGGTTTATGTAAGACCAGTGATGATATATCATAGAATAGGGGGGCTTTAGTTAAACGCTTTTAACTAAAAAAAAGAGCCAGTTTGGTGTAGTGGTTAAAGCATCAGGCTAGAAAGCGGGAGACTCTTGAGTTCTAGTCCTGCCTTAGTTATGCAGCCAATTGGGTGACCTTGGGCCAGTCACACACTCTCAGCCCTAGGAAAGAGGCAATGGCAAACCACTTCTGAAAAACCTTGCTAAGAAAACTGCAAGGACTAGTCCAGGCAGTCTGAGAATCACGCACAATTGAATGGATTTTTTAAAAAAAGTTAAATGGTTTATGAAAAAAAAAGACAACAGGCTAGAGCCCAGAATAAAAGCAGCAATGAAATACTTTTATTAGGAAAATAAATCAGGTTCTGGAGGAAGAAATGGTGGACTGAAGATGGCTCCGTGAAAAGGAGAGTCAATGACTGCAGCGAAAAACGAAGAGACGGTAAGTAGGCCTCTCCGGACAAAGAGTGGATGGGAGATCACCCACGAGTGCTCCAGACAGTTGCTCCTTGCAAGGAGACCACAACGTCGGCAGGTTTTGAGAGCCAGGAGACGCGGGAATAGCCATCTTGCTCAAACCCCGCTCAGCGCCTTTAAAAGGACACTAAGTTTGCATACGTCTTTTCCTAATCGCGTTCGGAAATTGCTTGTTAACTACTTCAGATTCCTGCAGTTTACCCCTTCTGTAGTCATAAGAAATTCCACCTATGCAGTGTTGTGTTTAGCCAGACGCATGAAGTTCTCTCCTCTGCACCAAGAAATGGTATTTTTCACCAATGAAGCGACTCACTGTCGTGGCACGTAAAATGTAGCCCAACTCCTGCTTAGAAAGCTGGCTAATGACTTCACTCAGCTCAGTCATGTTTTAGCAGCTGGCATGGAAAAGATACAGTATGCCAGTACATCTTTTCTGCTTCCAGTCTTGATAAGTAAATAACGAAAAAAAGATAGGTGTTTATCAGAGACTAGTCATCTCAATTGTGAAAATGTTAAAAGTACATAAAAAGTATAACATGATTGAGAAAGACAAACCAATGATTTGTTTTTCAACAAGAATCTTATTCTCCAGTCTTCTCAAGTAAATATTTCTCATCAGTCAAAATATTTTGTATTGGCTCCCGATCATCAGTCTCTGGTGTAGCATTTTCAAGATATTAAAAATACTACAAGTTAGCATCTATTTCAAAATGTGTTTCTGTTAGCTGCTGCGAAATAAACCATATGATGTTTATCGTTTTTCCTGCTTGCATAGTCTTATATGCTACAAAAAGTTTACAGGCATATCCTATAGAATTTTGTTTTGTAGTGTCCTTAGTAAAAGATTTTACCTGGAACGCTCTGGGTTTTCACACAGTAAAATATTTCCAAAGGCACTTGGAACATTCCCTTCCCTTTTTTTCCCATTGTCTGCCCTCCCGTATTTTTGTTTAATTTTCAAAGATTCCGCATTGTTGCATATCTGGGAAGTGTGAATGTTGGACTAGGGCGGGGTAGGGTTGGCTGCGCAGCATCCTTGCCTGTAACTGGTGAGCTGGTGGTTTACCCCAAGGGTGCCCCAAATGGTTTGAACACAGACCGTCTCAAGCGTGCAACGGCTACGAGTGGCTCGCGAGGGAACGCGTTCCAGGAGGTTTTGTTCAAAAGGGCTCTCTTGTGCCAGATGCAGACCCCGACAGAGTGATTTCAGGTGGAAGCTGTCCCGGGGCTCCTGTTCTTGTTTCGGTTAGGTGACTGCAGACGGTCTTCCCTCGCGCAATGGGTGTAACTGCTGAATTGTCCTCTCCGGGCCAGAACCACAAGGAGGGCCAGTCTCGCCTCTACCGGTGCTCTTGGCTCAGGTGGGGTGGGGCGAGGAGTGCGTTTGTGTGTGTGTGGGGGGTGAAATTTGGAGTAAAGGGGAAGCAGGCCTGGAAGGGACAGAGGCAGGGCCCTTTCTGGAAGAAACGCTGGAGCACAAAATATAGAGGAAGAAATTGCTGCAAGGAAATCTTGTGAACCACCTTGCATCGGTGCTTCTGCTTCTCCCTTCATGTTCGTTCCATTTCCTTTTAGTTTTGATCCAGTGTTGCAGGGCAGACGAGAGGGGGTCCACAACACCTCCTGTCCAACGAGACCCCTTCCGAATTTTAAAGAACTTCTTCCTCTCCGCAAAAGTCCCCCAACATTGGTTGGGGGGGATGAGTTCTTCCCATTTGTTTTGTGGGTGTTTCCCACCTCTGAAATGCCGCTGTTTTTCCTGCTGAAGACAATGACTTATTTCAGTGCCCTGACAAGGCAGATATTCGGACGAACAAAATATTGAAGGCATTTAAAATATGATTTGGGAACCTATAGTCTTTCCTTACTCAGGCTCTGTTGTTGTTGTTCTCATTCTTTAGACTGGCATCTCCTGTTTCTTGAAAGAAGAGTTGTGTGGATCTCCATTTTACATTTATGGGAACCCAACAGGCTCCAGCCTGCCCAACCGTTTGAATGTTTCCTTCCAAAATGAACATAAGTTCTCTCTTCCGTTCCACTCCCCCATTCCTTGCTCCCATTTAATTAATGGTTTCTATATCATATGAAATCTCAGAAGACAAAAAGGGAACCATTTAGATATCAGTGGTAAAGTTAATGCCAAAAACATCTGACCTGGAGCAAGATTCTGGTGGTAACTTTATGATGTTTCACCAGTAACTCTTCCACTGGAAGTACTCTTGTCATATGGGGAAAGTACCACAATATGCCCTAATAAGCTTTCGAATCTGTGTGTTCCCGAAGTATCGCAGTACTGCAGTTGCAAATGCAGAATACAGAGCGTGGGCTCTTCAATTAAACAGAGCACAAGGTGGCAGTGTTTAAATGCAATTTTTATACGACAAGGTCCTCCTTTTGAAAACTATCAGATAAGCTGAGTCTTACCATTTAAAATGAAAAGCAAATGCTTCCCTTTGTTTAGATTTCCACCACATCTGTTCTCAATGTGGGTCTGTAGCTGATTTATTTGTCATGCAGACAATTTGGAAGGACTGGAAAAAATTCCAAGCCATCACAAACACAGGGTAAGATACAGCCCTGTTTCACCTGGGAGAAAACAAGATAACGCCGATCCTTTTTGGAATCAGATACATGGAAATCATTGGCATGGGGTCACTGAGTTTCTAGAGTGGGAAGAGGCCTAAGTTTTTAACAAATAATCATTGGGACATTCTGGGGAAAAAGGAGCCAGTTAATTAACTGCTAAAAACAACTGACAGGTCGCAACCAGCTGTGTTGGTGTAGGAATGATTTTTGCTAACATTAGAACAAGTTTGTGTAACAAAAAAGTAGCTGTTTAATCTCGCTCTACCAATCGCCAAAGGGCTGAGAACATGGAACCTCTTATTAACAGCGGTTTGATCATCCCATCGCTGTCTCATGAATAAGGCATGGAGAACTGTGAGAAGGAAGAGCCTGATTATAGCTGGCTGAAACTCATAAATGACGTCAATGCTTTTCCCCAGTAAGGCCCTGGGATCAAAGCCAGGGCCACACCGATCAGGATGCTGAGTGAGGCGAGCGGCGGGACAGAGGTCCAGGCAAGGACCACTGAGCAGAGGGGACAAAGCGTCCTCTTCTGGGACTTGCACCCTGAGGATAAAGACGGGCCACATTTTCTCACTGGTGGTCACACATGTAGCTTTGGTGATACATCAAGGGCCAAACTCCTAAAAGCAGGATAGAAAAATGGAAAGAGCCACAGCTACCTTTCATTCCACTGAATTGCAATTGCATTAAAATAAAGTAACATTAGTAGTATTTCACTTCATACGACTAACCGTTTTCCCCCTCTGCTACACAAAAAACACAGCTCATCCAGGAGCCATGCTCGCTGCTTCCAAGGGTCTCAGGAGATCTCAGGTTAGGTATCCTTGCATTCAACTATGATTGAACTCTGGTTTCTTCTAGAGT